TCACATAAAAAACAAATTGAGGTTTTTAGGCATGCTGAAAGCAGTAGCATTTGCTCGTAAAGCAGGGTGCGATTCATTTGTTGCTGTGGGTGGTGGATCCGTTATCGATACGACTAAGGTATGAGCGTCAGCTGTATATCATTTATTTATCAATTTTTCTTTGTGAAATACACACAATGTGCATCAAAGATTTGATACCCTCGTCTAATTATTCTAACCATTCATGACTAGGCTGCAGCTCTATACTGCTCAAATCCAGAAGCGGACTTCTACGACTATGTTTGTCCACCATTCGGAAAGAATCTGGTTCCGAAAAATCCGATGCTACCTTTGATCGCTGTTCCGACTACGGCTGGAACTGGAAGTGAAACAACAGGTGACTAGGTCAATTTCAATGAGGGAAGCTGGACTATGAAAGCTGGATCCTTGTGGGACTTCCGAACCAAATTAAAAAAGGATCCCTTTGATCAAATTTAAGAGAGCTGTTGGACTGCAGATCCTCACGTGCAAAAGCATATTGTTTTAGATCGTATTAGATACTCAGACAACTAACCTGGCTTCCGCAGAACATTTGGAGAAGTTCCGCCGGGCATCTGCGGAAGTTCCTAAACGTGCTGCGGAAGTTTGGTGCTGCGGAAGTTCTGAAGAATGAATCACAGCAGCAAAAGAGAAGACCTAAGCGAGACTGAACCTTACTCTACTGAGCGAGACTCACTCACTATCCTCTGCGCTACGGATGACATTGTTCGAGAAAGCACTTCAGTTGTTGACGAGACGACATCGTAAGAGACTTCACGTCAAAGTTTTGCCGAAGTACTGGCAGGCCAAAATGCTGCGGAACTACTGGCGTTTTTCGGAATTTCTTCACGTGAAAATTTCTTATTCTGTAATAACAAACAAAATCCTGCGGAACAGCTGCAAATTTTGCTTCTCCTGCGGAAGTTCCGGTGAATTGTGTGTGTAAATGGTCTTATAACAACAATCTTCTTCTATGGCCAAAAAAGCAAGTATAATTTTGTGAAGAGATCATATTGCCTCTTAATAATTTGCTTTATGACAATGACTGCGAATAATTTCGCCATATTTTATTGAGGTGCTGCCATAATGGATCTTCCTAAACATGAGTGCAAATCGGGCATTCGACAACGATGTATCAAGCCCATATTGGCCATAGTTGACCCTGATAACATTAAGAGGTTTGATCCAAGGTCTGGCTCTTGTTCGTCCAGTTCGTACAGTTACAGTATGCCTCGAAATGTGGCCATTTACTCTGGTTTTGATGTGCTGTGCCATGCATTGGAGAGTTACACAGCTCTTCCTTACAACAAGGTGCCAAAAATTTTTTTGTACCCGAAGATGCAAAAGTCTCTTTGTTGAAGACCCCTTTGTAG